TATGTAGAAACAAAAGTCGAATGTCTAGAAGTTTTAATAAGGCACAAAGCAATCTTTTCTGATGTCATTTTAAACAAGATAGGGATGGAACAAAGTGGAATGTGTAAAGTATGTCAAAAAGAAGAAGAGGGTTTTTTACACATGTTTTTATATTGTCAAGAATTGGAAGGTTTTTTAAAAGATTGTAAAGTTTTAATTAAAGGACTACTTGGAGACTGGGATGAAAATGAAACAGAATGGAACAGAGTAGTGATGTTGGGATGGAATAAGAACAATGAAAATAAGAAAATAGTAAACTTATGTATAATGCTGATGAAAAATGCAATGTGGGAAAGGAGAATTGTGGCAAAAAAAGAGAAAATGGTGATGGATGTATGGGGAATTTTTAAGAGGAAAATGGAGAGATATGTGGAAAAACTGTATATATATCATAAAAATGAGAACATTTTGAGTGAGCTGCACAAAATTCTGACGGACAAAGCATGTCAAGTTTTTAAAGAAATGAACTGGAAACTACCACATTTTTAATGTTTTTGAATATGAAATGATCTTTTAATGTCTGTTTTATTATGATTTACTGTAAAAGATTGTAATTGAAATTGATTCAATAAAAAAAAAAAAAAAAAAAAAAAAAAAAAAAGAAATGCCCGATCTCATCTGAACTCGGAAGTAAAGCAGGGTCGGGCCTGGTTAGTACTTGGATGGGAGACCGCCTGGGAATACCAGGTGCTGTAAGCTTTTCGAAGTGCTTCATTTGGCAGCTGATTTAAATAGCCAACGCTTGACAGCCTCTTTCGCTCTTTCGCTTACGGCCATACCACCCTGGAAATGCCCGATCTCATCTGAACTCGGAAGTAAAGCAGGGTCGGGCCTGGTTAGTACTTGGATGGGAGACCGCCTGGGAATACCAGGTGCTGTAAGCTTTTCGAAGTGCTTCATTTGGCAGCTGATTTAAATAGCCAACGCTTGACAGCCTCTTTCGCTTACGGCCATACCACCCTGGAAATGCCCGATCTCATCTGAACTCGGAAGTAAAGCAGGGTCGGGCCTGGTTAGTACTTGGATGGGAGACCGCCTGGGAATACCAGGTGCTGTAAGCTTTTCGAAGTGCTTCATTTGGCAGCTGATTTAAATAGCCAACGCTTGACAGCCTCTTTCGCTTACGGCCATACCACCCTGGAAATGCCCGATCTCATCTGAACTCGGAAGTAAAGCAGGGTCGGGCCTGGTTAGTACTTGGATGGGAGACCGCCTGGGAATACCAGGTGCTGTAAGCTTTTCGAAGTGCTTCATTTGGCAGCTGATTTAAATAGCCAACGCTTGACAGCCTCTTTCGCTTACGGCCATACCACCCTGGAAATGCCCGATCTCATCTGAACTCGGAAGTAAAGCAGGGTCGGGCCTGGTTAGTACTTGGATGGGAGACCGCCTGGGAATACCAGGTGCTGTAAGCTTTTCGAAGTGCTTGCTGATAGACTTCCCCGTGTCACAGCTTCGCTGCCATTATTTTTTCTCGCCTTCAAGGGCATTGTTTCTGTCGATGCTGTGTCGATGCCAGCTGAGCTGCGTCCTTCCCTGGTGCTGCGCCTGTTTTAAATAGCTGTCTTAAGCTGTTGGTGTGCTAAAAAAAAAAAAAAAAAAAAAAAAAAAAAAGTCAGTTTCCACCGGGGGTCTCATTATTCACCTTGAAGGGCAGGGATTTTTCTTCCAGCAGTCTGGTGTCAGCGGCTGGCTACCAGGCTGGCCTTGGAGATCAGTCTGCCTTCTTTCACCTGCTTGGTTCTCACCTCGTGCACCACAATGTGCCAGCATATTCTGTAAAAGAGAGCTTAAAATCTGCTGTGTACCAAGCTCGGATTCCCACTGGCTCGTTGAGAAAAAAGAAGTTCTCTAGATCCACTTAGCCTTTCCATATACCCTAGGAACGCCTTGATCAATCCTAAAAACTTTCTATTCAGGGACCATAGAAAGCGTATTGACTCAATGTATCTCAATGTGGTATGGAAACAGCTCAAACCAGGACCGCAAAGCACTTCAAAGAGTTGTGCGATTAGCTGAGCGCATCTCAATGTCTGCTCTCCCCTCCTAGCAGGACATCCATCTCAAACGCTGTAAAAATAGAACTGTTAAAATCTGTAAGGACTTAAATCACCCTGGTAATTACCTATCCACTTTGCTTCCATCTGGTAAGCTTTTCCGTAGCTTGATGGCAAAAACTGAGAGACTTAGGAGGAGCTTCTTTCCCCAGGCCATCAGGCTTCTAAATTCTAACCCGGTGTTATACATCACTTGACTCTACGTATATATCACTGTATTAGTCATATCTATAAGCTACCTCATATTGCTGCTATTCTTATTACTTTGTATAATTTTATCATTATTTTTTGCACATATTTTTCTTATTATTATTTAATTTTTGTTTATCTATACTTGCACTGTCTCTGGAGCGGACATGACCTTCATTCACTGCTGGTCATACTTTATATTATTATTTATGTGACAAATAAAACTCTTGACTTGACTCGATTCTCGTCAGTTTGGATGAGACGTTTTGCAGACGGCCAGTGGACTCACTTTCCAGTTTATAACCCTCAATCTCTTCCAAGAGCAGGTCTGAAGAAATGGGACGAAAGTCAAAAGTCAGCCTTGATGATATACCCCCACCAGCCCAACAGAAAAGTGCCATAACTATACTCAACTCAGGGCGGGAACATGGTCCGGGTAGGAGTACTTTTGTGAGACGTAGGCTTCCAGAGGTCTGGGGGGTGTAGGATCTTTGGCCACCCCTTGCCTGGGGGCCGGGTCGGGGAAGTGGTGCCGGCTGAGCAGGAGACTACCTTCTCCTCCTCTCCCCCCCCCCCACCAGCTTGCTGAGATCTTTGAGCTGGGACTGGATGCACTCTGTAGTAAGCATGCAGCAAGGTTCAGCACACAGACGCTCGGCTTCTGGGCCAACTGGTTCCCAATCATCGTCTTCCGACCACGGTAACCGAGACACCACAGGAACCGCCCATTAATTCGATTGCAACCACGCAACTACTCCTGAGCAACAACTCCTGAGTCACTTTTCGATGCTTTGCTCTTCCCATGGCCTTTTTCCGGCCAGAGGCAGAGAGCTCTGTGTGCTGCTTCAGGTGTCTGTCTAGACGGGCCGGTGTTCTGCAACAGCTGGGCACCCGGCACAGCATCTTACGTGTGTCCTTATTGCCAGCGCTGAGCGAGAGCAAAAGCCTCTTCTCTTCCGAGTTTGTCACCTTGTCAACCGCTAACAGGTGCGACAAGAGCCGGCTGTAGACTGAAGCAGAGCGTACATTCAGCCATGACCATCCAAGATCAATGCTGCAGGGAAAGACTTACACACTGAGGGGAATGGTTTAAAAGGAGGCGGCAGAGGCATCCACTTCCGAGTCATGACGCTGGTGACACTTCTTAAAGGGGAAAACATCCACCCCTGAACCAGGGGTATAAACCGATACCTTCAAGATCCCCTTGGTCCAATGCATGGATAAGCTGTAACTACTTTTGGGGGATTTCCCCATTCCTCTTTCAACGGAACCATGTGTGTCCAAGGAACAACGCACCGTTTGGGCAGCTTTACTGCGCCAGCCGTCGGAGCTTTTACACAGCCTTTTTCTTTCTCTTTCCCACAAAGGGATGGTATGAGCCCCATCGAACACGCACTATTTTGGCAGCTTTACTGTGCCAGCCATGGGAGCTTTTGCACAGCTTTTTTTCCTTCTCTTTTCCACAAAGGGATGGTATGAGCCCTATCGAACACGCACCGTTTTGGGCAGCTTTACTGCACCAGCCGCTGAAGCTTGAGCACTGCTTTTCCTTTTTCAAAGGGTTTAGTAGAACCCCACCAAACACACACACCTTTTTGGGCAGCTTTACTGCGCCAGCCATGGGAGCTTTTGCACGGCTTTTCCCTTTTTCAAAAAGAATCGTAGAACCTGATCGAACATGCACTTTTTCAGGACATTTAGTGGGCGTCATTGTGCCCACCAGTCATTAGACCAGCCATCTTCCAACTGGACCATGATAGCTCGCTAGAAAGACCAACAATCCCACAAACTGGCCTAGTCGTTCCAGACGCTTGCTAGAAAGACCCACCACCCTGCAAACTCACTGAACTAGCTCTCACTTGACCAAAGCTTGCCCGGGGACCCACACCCTTCCCAGGGAGCCAGGGTCCACGTTAGGGGGGCTGGAACCACTGAGCTCAATATCCCACAAATCACACCCCTTCTGCCTAGGGACCCACACCCTTTCTGGGGCCATCGCCAGCCCCACAGGGTTCTCGTGATTGACACCTGTTCTCCAGCAGTGCCCAAGCACCCCACTTTTAAGCCCGGGAATATGGACTTAGAGAAAAAGCATGTGCTAGTTGTTCTGTTGGTGACCCACCTGGCTCTGGGGCACCACCCTCTCCACCACCTTAATATACTGTGGTTCAGACAGCAGGGGTGCACCAGCCTTTCCAAGTTCCACTACCTATGGCAGTGCTCAAATTTTGAGGTGGCTGGGGTGCACCAATGACGCGTAGTTCTAGCAACAGAGGATATAGGAGTTCTGTGTTAACCTTGCTCGGTTGGCAGGGTTCGAACGTGTTTGCTGGGGCAGCTAGTCTACGTACAGACCCCTTGGTTCTTTCCCAACCATGCCGGGATGCACGACCAAATGCTCGCCAGAAACGGATGCAACTGCTCGGGCAGATGGCTTGGCCATAGACCCCTGCTTCTTTCCCATTGAGCCAGGATGCGCAACCAAAGGCTCGCGGGAAACAGATGCACCTGCTTGGGCAGATCAGCCTGGCCTTAGAGCCCCTGCTTTTTTCCCAATCGTGCCAAGAGGTGCGGCCGAAGGCTCACGGGAAATGGACACACCTGTTCAGGCAGACCAGCCTGGCCTTAGAACCCCCTGGTTTGTTTAACCGCTGTAGTGGCAATTTCCTTTAAGGAGGCGCTCTCGGTGGTCAAGAAACAAAGTCTTACCCGGGATGTCTTTTCAAAGCTTTTATTCTTTGCAAAGAAGGTCACAGTCATACAGCAACAACAGTTTCTGCAGAGTGAGACAATGAAGCAAAGTGTGCTCATCCTTTTATCTGGGTTGTGCTGCTTACGAGGTCAACTCCAGTTCAACCCAAACCACACATACCACGACAGGTGTGAAAACCATCCTGCTGCTTCCCTGTCATATATCACACAGCCCATGCCCCTTACCCCTAACAAATGTTCATCGTAAAACCTCAATAGGAGATAAGGACCAGGTGGTCACATACGGGAATGTAAGGCTGTATAAACAAAAGTACACTGTGAACACAAGTGACTTTTCACACATCTAAAGATGAGGAGTAAGCAAGTTTTCAATACACGTTCATTTAAAAATGAATTTCCATTACAATTCCTCTCTTTTTATCATTCATTGATAACTCACTATTAAATTCATTTTTCAATTGAATACAAAATCATACTGATTACAAAAATCATTTAACAGGTTTCTGCACACATCAAAAACACTAGAGATGTTTAAACACTTCTTCTTAATAGTTTCCCCATTAAGATTTATCTTTCAAAACATCCCTCTTCCCTGGGAGCCGGGCTAAACGAATAATCACTGTTATTGCGCTCCCGATCGAAATCGGACCCTCAGTCACCCCTCAGAGGTTCAAATCCCAGAAATTGCCTGTTATTTTCACATTATTGATTTGTTCACACGACAAAATTCTAGAAACATTTCTTCAATCAGTTAAAAATTACTAACACTCTACAGCAATTCATCAATAACACTCATGAACATAGGAACACATTGTTGTTTCTATACTCTTAAACATATATCACATTTACACCCTTCTCTCGATTTTCATGTAAATGATCACTCTTTTGAGATTTGTTACAGAACATATATAAGCAAGCAGATAGTTATCTTAAATTTCAAAAAATCTGGTTCATTAATATTTTTCCAATTAAGTAACAGCCGTCACCTAAAATTTTGTTCTCAGTTGTTTACAGTTTTTCCTTATCCATTTCTATGTAGCTGCTGCTATCATCAAAGTCATAATCAAAATCTTCACCCATGTCAATATTCATACCCTCTTCATTCACGGCCACTCTTATCATCTGATGGGATGTTTTAGTTGTAATCAGTCTGCCCACTGACCATAATACAAATCTGAATATACATGGAAGACAACATAATATCACTACACCCACTCCCAATACAGGTAACACCACAGTAAAGGCCCAGTAGATCCAGTTTCCCCACTTAAATGACAGCCAATCTAGCTATGGGCTGCTAACTTTCTTAGGTTCTTTTACGGTCATTCTCATGTGGGTCACACTGTCAGTAATGTTTTGCTGTAATCAGGTTAATTAAGGTGACACTAGCTGCAATGCCAGTGTTGTTCTCCTCAGACCACACATTCCTTGCACACGGAATGGATGGCAGCTAATCTTTTCTTTCATCTTCAGATCTTTAATGCGATGGTCAAGCACAGCTTATTCACCTCTCTTTTTGGTCGCTTTATCCTCCGTCTGCGTGCTGCTTGGTGTTGTATTCAGAAGTTACTGATTCACACACGCCTCTTGGGTTGGTGTTGTTTCTCCCCAGCTGTGACCTTGCTTCCCTCAGATAACAGCCTGCTGTTTTCCTTCAGATGGTTTCAGAGCCCCTCTTTCTCTCCTACTCCCACGTGGAATCCTCCTCAGGAGATGGAATTTTCCTGCAGTGCCCATCATGCACCCACGTGGCCCGCTCTGCGACCTTCACCGCCGTCTCCGTGGTCAGTAGCACTTGAAATGAACCCAGCCAGCGCTTTGCTCTCCAGCTCTTTCTCCTCAGGTCCCTGATCACCACAGACTGTGCAGTGGTCTCTCAGCAGCCTTCCCCTGTGCGGCCTTTACCTGCACACAAACATTGGACAACACATGAGACATATCTTACAGTAATTCAACATGTCATTCTCACACACATCTGTTGAGGGCAGCTGCTGTTTTCCCCCATTCACACCTACACGCGGTGGTTTACCAAAGAGAATTTCAAACGGGCTCAAATTCATTTTTGATCTTTTTCTCATTCTCATGTACTTCAGGACAATGGGTAAAGCTTGAACCCATGTAAGCCCTGTGTCTTCACAGCATTTTGCCAATTTGTTCTTCAGTGTACCATTTTCTCTTTCAACAGCGCCTCCTGAAGCTGGATGGTAACTGCAATGTGTTCTCAAATCAATTTCCAAATATTGGCCCACTTGTTTGATTGCTTCATTAACAAAATGAGTACCATTATCTGAACTTATTTTTCGTGGTATTCCTCATCTCGGCACAATTTCAGTCAGTAACGCTTTTGCTACCGCAGCCGAATCTTGTTTTGAGGTTGGAAAAACTTCAACCCATTTTGACCACATGTCAACCATCACCAAGCAGTACCGTTTCCCATTACATGGGGACAATTCAATGAAATCCATCATCAAGTATTCAAATGGCCCTGTTGGAGGTGGATGAGATGATTGTGGGACTTTTATTGCTCTGGCCACATTATGTGTGTTGCAAATTACACATCGTCTACAGAAATTGTCCGCAAATGTAGTGAACCCCTTTGTGAACCACAGTTCATTCATTTGCGCAACCATTGCTGTTTTTGACGCATGATCTTTACCGTGAAGTAATTTTGCATAATGTTGGAAAAAATGTTTTGGTAAACACGCCTTGCCCTCAGCACACATCCACACATTATCTTTCATCACACAGCCAGACTGTCTCCATTTGTTTTTCTCCAGCCCCGTCGCGAAGGTCTGCATATCCTGCAAAGAAGAACACACGTCATTGTTATCACCAACAGATAGAAAAGAACATTCGGAGTAATCCTTGTCTCGGGATGCTGCGACTTTTGCTGCTCCATCTGCTCTGGAGTTACCTGCAGAAACAGAATCTTTGTTGTTAGTGTGCGCTGCGCATTTACAAATGGCCAGTTTGTCAGGTAGTAAAATCGCATCCAGCAGCGCTGCCACTAAAGGAGCATTGAGTATTGGTCGACCATCAGACTTTAGAAATTTTCTGTGTTTCCACAGAGCCCCAAAATCATGAGCTACCCCAAATGCATATCTTGAGTCAGTGTAAATTGTAGCCTCTTTTTTTGCCATTAATTTACATGCCTCTGTCAACGCCACGAGCTCTGCTGCCTGTGCAGAATAGTGCCCTGGCAATTTCCCAGAGGTCACCACATCAAATTCAGTTGTTACAGCGTAACCAACTTTATTCTGGCCTGTTTGTGGATCTTTAAACGCTGAACCATCCACAAAGAGGACATTGTTACAATTTTCAAGTGGTTCGTCAGAAAGGTCAGGTCGTGGTGTACACACCTGTTCAAGTGCTGTTAAACAACAATGATGCTCTTCCCCATCTTCCTCAGTAGGAAGAAGAGTAGCCCCATTCAAACCAGTACATCGTTTAACAGTCACATTTGGCATATCTAACAAGATAGTGTGATATCTCAGCCAGCGGGCTGTTGACAGATGCGATGTTTTTTGTTCTTGGAGAATCATGGACACAGAATGTGGCACCATCAGTATCAATTCAGAATACCCAACAAAATCTCTTGAAGCCATCACAGCTTTTTCTGCAGCCGCCACTGCTCTTAACCAACGTGGCAGGCCTGCTGCTACGGGGTCAAGTTTGCTCAAAAAATAGGCCACAGGTCGTAGTCTACCTCCATGATCCTGTAGGAGTAATGACGTCATGAACCCAACCTCTTTCATCTACCATCTGAACAAATGGTTTTGTTGGTACAGGCAAACCCAATGCAGGGGCCTCAGCCATTTGTAACTTCATGTTTACAAATGCCTGCTGTGCCTCTGTTGTCCACTCTAGTTTGTCAGTGGATTTCATCCCCTTCCCTAATGTTAGGGCTCTCAGGGGTTGTTCCAAAATTGCATAATTTGGAATAAATGTGCGACAATATGAACACATACCCAAAAAAGACAACATTTGTTTTTTCGTTAGAGGTTTTGGTACATTTTTTATACCACTCACCCTTTTTTCAGACAGAGATTTGCTGTGTGGTGTAATGACGTGCCCCAAAAATGTTACCTTTTGTTTAACAAACTGCAATTTTGTCAAACTGACTTTGTGGCCCTCCTTAGCCAGGTGTTTAAGGAGAGTCACAGTGTCTTTCACACACGTCTCTTCATTCTCAGCACATATCAACAGGTCATCAACATATTGTAACAAAGCAGTTCCAGCTGTCAGGGTCAAAGGTTCCAAACTTCTTAACAACGCTTCATTGTATAAAGTTAGAGATGCTGTAAAACCCTGACACAGACGTGTAAAAGTGTAGCCTTTACCATTAAAATTGAATGCAAACCAAAACTGGCTGTCTTTGTCCACTGGCACACTGAAAAATGCATTTGCCAAATCAACCACTGAATAAAATTGTGATTTTTCAGGAATTTGTAACAAAATTGTGTACAGATTTGGAACTAATGGAGCCCTTTGTTTGACAGGTGCATTTACTGCTTGCAAATCTTGTACAAAACGCCATTCTGTAGGCATCCCATTATCCCTTATCTTTTTTTACAGGAAAAATAGGGGTGCGAACCTCAGAATTGTTGCATGGTACAATAACACCCTGTTCCAGTAAAGCCTCAAATACTAGGGTAATGCTTTCAATGGCTTCCCTTTTCAAAGGATATTGTTGTTGGCAGGGTCTGTAATCAGATTTTGCAGTCATTGTAACTGGCTCACAACCTTTAATCAAACCAACATCATATTTGCTTTTAGCCCACAGTTTGCTTGGTATTTCTGCTAAAGCTGGGTGTGTGTCTGCAGCATTAAAGTCAACCATGCAAGAATTCTTCACGCACACTTTGTCAATAGCAGTCACAGTTCTTGAAACAGCTGTTTCAGTTTTACTGTCCACCCGAAATACTCTCGAGCTCTCGGTCCATTCTAACCCTTTCTCTCTACTCTCAGATAGGCCTAAATCAGCCCAAGACTGATGTTTACCCTTGCAAACTGATATGTGAGGCACAGCCTGTGCTAACATGAGATAGAATGAAAGCTGCTTTTCTGACAGAGACACTGAAACTGCACACAGACTATCCTTTTAGTACATTTTCTCTAAAATCAACGTTTCATTCACATTTGTCTCAAACCAAGCTTTCTCAAATTCCTCATCTGTAAATTACGACATGTGACGTGCAATGCAGTTCACCAAGAGACATATCCATGTCAAAAGGTTTTACTCAATCTTTAGCCAATTTGCAGATTACATCAGCCCATTGATTGTTTTCAATGAGTCTGTGATTCAACCAGCAAACAACAAAATTCCTCCTTTTTTTTTCCACTCTCACACCTGAGAAGTCTGCTGTTAGAACTAAGTTTAATTTACACAAAATATCCCCTCCAATGAGTGGTATCAGACATTTTGGCAAACAAACAAATGCGTGGTTGAAAATTTTACCCCCCTCTGTCTCACAGGTCAGCGGAGCTGTAAATCGCTCGATCACTGTATGACCAGATGCAGACAGAGACTCGTGAAATTTGTTTTTCAAAGGTATTTCACACTGCAGGTCACATGGTCGTATGCAAGATCTGCTAGCTCCACTATCAGCTAGAAACTCAACCAATGTATTCTCAATCATCAGAGAGTATTTTGGCATATTAAAAATGCTTCATTAAAAAAAACATTGCCATTTCATTAGAAAAATGATCAACATTACTGTGATCAAAATTACAGTGGGAAATGCAAGCTTTTTCTTCATTGCAGAGAGCCAAAAGTATGTCAGTGTATGTGAGTATGTGTGTATAAAAATGTGTCTGCATTTAAACTTGTTAGTAAAATATGTTCACTTCCCTTTACTGTAGCTGTTGGCTGCTTGCCCAGACCCTCTCCGTTCTGCTCTTCCCTCTCCGCACATCAGCTCAGTTGTTGGTTCGCGCCTTTCGGATCAATCCTTGACCAAAAGTCCATCTCGGTGGCAAGCGCAGACATTTAGTACAGTTTCTCGTCATGTACACCACAGGCTCTGCAGATTTCATCGCCATCCGTCACATTCCAGTTTCTCCGTCTTCTGGTATCTTTCTCACCCTTGACACCTTTGTTGCCTTTGAATTTGCGATATCTTTGGTTGTCAGGTCTTGGTTGGATCTTTGGTTGGCCACTTGTATCAGAGCCATGCACAGCTCCCTTTCCGCTTTCTTCTTGTCTTGCTCTTGCTTCACTGTCAGCTTGTCTTCAGCATGTTGAGCACACAGCAGAATGTCCGTTAAATGTCCATTTCTCCAGTTCAAACAGATGTCCTCCACTTGCTTGAGGTGGGAATTTTGTTGGTGCGGTCGGAGGTCTTCTGGGATAGTAGCAGTTGAGGTCTGGGTCAGTTCTCAGGGCTCGCAGCTCAGCCACGGGATAGTGATGGTACGGCGGTACATGTATGGAAACAGATGTATAGAAAAGATTAGTAATGCTAATTAATCTTTCATTCACACTTTCACATTTTTCACTTGCTTTTTCCTTCACTTTATCTCCTTCATTCTTTTCCCTACATGCCACTTCTTCATTCTCTTCCCTACATGCCAGCTGCCTCTGCAGCATTTTCCTCTTTGCCTCTTATCTGCCTTTTTGAGCCAACAATCAAGTGTCCACACGACACACACACATGCCTTTCACAAAAACAACCTGCTTTTCCTTCTGCCTTCTCAATCAACTCTTTCATTTTGTTTAACCTAGTAACACTCAACATTCCCTTTCCCTCAGAAACTTGTGATACTTTATTAGTTTTCCTATATCTTGCATGCTTTTTAAAAAAAAAAATTTTCCATATAATTTTTTTCTATATTTCAAAACACCGGTTTATCATATTTTCTCACTTTACTTTGGGACTTCCCCATGCTGGCAATGATCTATCCCCTGGACTTTGTCGGTACCTATTAATCTGTTGGACGTCTCCAACAGATGTCGATTTTTCACCTAAAATCGAAAAGTTAAGCTATGCAGCTCTAATTTTGTGGCCCCCAATTTCAACCCCCTTTTAGAAGTAAATCGCTTGGCCCCTGATTTCAACCTCCTTCTGGAAGTAAATCGCACAGCCCCCTGATTTCAACCCCCTCCCGGGAGTAAATCGCAGTTAGCTAGCCAAACATATTAGAAAGGTCTTGATCTTAGTCAGGCGCCAGATCTCACTTGTGTAAGGTCTTGATCTCAGCTAAACGCCAGATCTCACTTGTAAAAAAGGTCTCGATCCCCACCTGATGTCAGATCTCACTTGTATTAATCACGTCGCTATCCCACAAAGACAGACCCGCCAGCATGGTGATGACCCAAATTGCAGTAAAAACCCTTTTAAATTGCCTAATCAAATGCCCAAAACTTGTTAGATTTCTTTTTTAACAATAAACAAAGAATTTGTTTCTTACCAGAGAGTTCAGATGCCACTGAGTTCTTTTTCCCAGATGTCAGTGGGGTTCTTCTCCGAGCCCGGCGGTCGGCCCCTCAACCAAGCGGGGCAGGGCTGTGACACGAAGTCCCAGGATGATCAGTCACCGTCCGCAGGGTCCGGAAAAGTTCCTCCAAGACATCCCACTATTCTGACACCAAATTGTAGTGGCAATTTTCTTTAAGGAGGCGCTCTCGGTGGTCAAGAAACAAAGTCTTACCCGGGATGTCTTTTCAAAGCTTTTATTCTTTGCAAAGAAGGTCACAGTCATACAGCAACAACAGTTTCTGCAGAGTGAGACAATGAAGCAAAGTGTGCTCATCCTTTTATCTGGGTTGTGCTGCTTACGAGGTCAACTCCAGTTCAACCCAAACCACACATACCACGACAGGTGTGAAAACCATCCTGCTGCTTCCCTGTCATATATCACACAGCCCATGCCCCTTACCCCTAACAAATGTTCATCTTAAAGCCTAATTGGAAAGATAAGGACCAGGTGGTCACATACGGGAATGTAAGGCTGTATAAACAAAAGTACACTGTGAACACAAGTGACTTTTCACACATCTAAAGATGAGGAGTAAGCAAGTTTTCCCTACACATGTTCATCTAAAACTGAATTTCCATTACAGCCGTAACACCCATTGTCGCTATCGTTAGCTTAAAATATTTCCGGCATCAACAGCAGTAGGCGTCGCGGTCATTTCCTTGCGCAGGCTTAACCCAAGTGCAATTCGGATTCCTTGGCCACAGCGACACTTTCCCATTTTAGCCGACAAACTGGGCTAGTGACTATCTTGTTCTGTACGTCACCTCAAGTAACCATATGACGGGTGCGCACGCTTTCACGCTTTCTGTTATGACGTGGAGTGTGAGGTGCACTCAACGTTACGCTGCATAAATTTTTAATTAGCCTACATTAGTAACAGTTCATTTTGTTACGGTATGAACTTAATCCTAGGAAAGGCAAAAATAAATGAAAAAAATTAAGACCTTTTTAATAAAATTCAAGCCTTTATTTACAAAATTCAAGGCTATTAAGGCCTTCATTTGAGATTATGAAATTTAAGAGTTTTTCAATGCTTTTAAGACCCCACGGGTACTCTGGACATGGACCTTCAGCATGCAGTGGGACGGTTTGCTGCTAAGTGTGACATGGCAGGGAAAGAAACAGCACCTCTAAGTCAGAAACCATAATGCTTGACTGAAAAACAGTGGCCACCTCCAGTTTGGTGGAGAGTCCTTACCCCAAATGGAGTTTAAGTATCTGCATTTTTTTGCCATGAGGAATGGAATATGAGATTAAAAGATGGATCAGTGCAGCGGCAGCAGTAATGCAGTTGATGTAATTGTCTGTTGTGGTGAAGGAGCTGAGACGAAAGGTAATCTAAGTACTTACTCACACCTATGGTCATAACTGAAAGGACAAGATCTCGGATACACCCGGACACATTTTACAAAGTGTTATGACCCGCTTGTTTGAGTCGCAGCATAAAAGAGAGATGAGCCAACAAAATAGCCTGAATGCAAATGATTTATTATAAAATGTAACTCATAGAACAATCAATCAATGCAACCAACAAATGTCTAGGGATACTAATGAAGATAAAGAACTTAGGATATAATCACAACAACATTTTAACTACATGATATAAGTAATGCAAAACAAAACCATAATGTGAAAGAGTCAATGAGATGGCAGGTCTTGACATGAGGACTCCTGAGTAGCCACAGGTCCTGAGGTAGCTAGCACAACTGCTTTTATATAGCCATTGATGAGTAATGCAGGCATCCAATCACGATTTACCAAATACTCCAATCTGGATTTCTCATTCAGGGAGTCAGACAGAGAACATCATCCAAAACAACACTAGCTACATGAATACACTGGAGAGTGGAGTAGACGAGATTTCAAGCTACAGAGGTGCTGTTTGCCAGATGTTTATGAAACTGTTCTTCTCTCAGCCGCCATCAATGTGTTTACATAAATGCAAGAAGCGCGGCACATTTACAATTACAATCCCCATCTACTGCAGTGTAGGAGTGTTGGAAAACCTATTATACTGTATTATACTGTTATTTATAGCCTATTCAAACATTATTCAGACATGAAACATCCTGTGCACATGAGAAAATATTTTAATGCATTCAGGTCATGTGTGCAACTTTTTGTCCATGTGTTTCTTAAGCTGCGCCGAATGAGCGAAACTCTGTAGACACTGATCAGATCTGTACGGTTTCTCTCCAGTGTGAATCCTCTTTTGTGTTTTAAGATGCATTAACTGATTAAACCTCGTCACAGTTTGAACACTTGTACGGTCTCTCCAGTGTGAATCGTCTGGTGCAGTTTTTGGAGCTGTAATAAAAGTCTTCTCACACTCAAAGCACAAATACTCTTTCACACCAGTGTGGATCTTCATGTGTTCATTAAGGTTTGGTGATTGGTTAAAACTCTTCCCACACTGAGTAGATGTGAATGGTTTCCCTCCAGTGTGGGTCTTCATGTGTTTAATAAAGGTCTGAGGAGCTGCTGAAACTCATCCCACATCGAAGCTGCGGTCACACTAGAATTTGAGCATGCAAAATTCTGTTGTACAGCGCTGTGAAAAGGAGCCGGATTAAACAAGATGATCAGACATTTAAAAAGCGAGCGATTGGTCTATATTTTACTAACTGTCCAGAGTAGGGCTGTAACGATACACGATATAAAATCGAAATCGCGACACTCAGATCTACGATCCTGTGTCGCGGTGTGATAAGGGAGAATCGCGACACACCCCGTGATACCTTTCCAATAACGTCACGCGTGCCTGCAAAAGTTAAGCTAATTAACACTTTTTTTCGTTCGACATTACAAGCACTGCTCCGTTTAAGCCCTCGCAATATTTAGCCGGGAGAGCTCGCACGGAGCTCTTAGTAAGGGACCGTCTGAATGTGTCAGGAATATCAAAAACAAAACCAACTTAACCCCGCTTGACAACCGACAACGCCAGAAACATTGCCAATGCTGTCAAAGCGGCCAGATTTTCAGCGCATATACGATGATTTGCTCACACTGTTAATGTGGCTGCGTAGAGAGGGATGGGCGTTCACCAAATGTCAGGTAACAGCGCAAACTTTTCTGTATCCGTGCTGTGCGATTTCTGTTTGAACCTTTGAGAGTGCTGACTGACAGGTGCGCGATGTGTGAGGTCAGAAAACACGACGAAGCTTTCAGTTAAGATGAACACAGTTTCTATAGTTATACTTTATTTAGAGATAAAGGTATATGACTCTGCATATAATCACTTCACAATCTTGCTGGAGTTTATAGTCGTTTCGATTTACTTCAGGACGCATTAACGCCGCTCTGAAGGTCTAATCGCTGTTTTAAGTTATCCAGAGCTGTATGAATGTACAAATCTTGAATATCACAATAGTATTAAATATTACTATTGTAACAACACAGACAGCAACACTTTTGCACAATCGATACCCAGCTGATTCAGTCGTTTCATAAGAGGACCGCGCCTCTTCTTTTTTCCTTGTCAACATAAAGGCAGTGAGGTGCGCCTCGTTTTAGACCCCTTGTTTAACTGCAAGGCATACTTATTTTGCGGGACCATAACGTGTAACCCGTGCCTACATACACATTTGCCAAAGAAGCAAAATGGAAGAAGAATATTGCTGTTTGATACAGACCTGTTGATGCTTAACCAGCGCTTATGTTGACCTGGATATGCGTAATAAACGCAACAAATAGGCTTTACTTTTTATTTTACAGCTTATAAAGCATGTACGCAGATTAATGCAATATCATATTTAAACAACAAAACTGTTTACAAAAAGTCTACATATGCGCGCATTGTTGCTGTCTTTTCATCACGCAGCGCGCGCACTTGAACCGCGAGGGAGAGAGAGGAAAGCATAGGCTATATCAGGACATAATCTTTAAAATAATGATTTCTATTAAAATGTAAAAGGTTTTGTGATTATAATAATAACAGCGGAGCTTTAAATAAATGCATATTTTCCGTAAAGCGGGCAATTTGAGGAAGTCTGCGATTTTTCTTTGACGGAAGAAAAAAACATATGATTGGGAAAAAAAGCCTATGCCGGTTATTAAAAAGAATCAGTCAGTATTGTCGTTTTGTAATATAAATTAATTATTTAAGTGAAAATAATTTAGGGCAGTCCTATTTATTTTATTTAGATTATTCTGCTCTTCTGTGCTAAACACTGCAGGTGCGTGGAAATGCTCTGTTGTTCTGTTCCGCTATTAATATTCTAACATATAAAAATAAATCAGTATTTTAAAATGCAATATTTAATGTGTCAGACAAAAAATAGACACGTCAATTTGTTTAATATAAAATTAACAGTAATCTGACCAGTTAACCGGTAATAACCGATTAATGTTGTCGGTTAGCAAAATTAACAAAATGAGCATCCCTAGTAGCTATTTAATTTACTTTTTCTATGTAAGAGAACTTGATTGAAAAAGAATTGTCAACATGCTTGAACCATCTACACAATGGAGTTTAGTTCTGTTTGGTTTTTCAACAGTATTTTGTTACAAAGAAAACAGAAGTGATATAGCTTTGGGTATTTATTTATTTTATATATGGCTATTTATATTGTTAATAATTTGCATAGTTAATATTGTTCTTTGTTGTTTAGTTTATAAAGATTTTTCAAATGTTATTTAATAAAAAATAGTTTTAAAAATCTTTTTTTGCCCACCCCACACGAAAAAAAAAAAAAAAATCGTGATACGAACCGAATCGTGGGTCAAAAATCGTGATACGAACCGAATCGTGGGTTTGGTGTATCGTTACAGCCCTAGTCCAGAGAGGTCATGTTTTGATCTTCGATAGGTCTCACACAGTCAAGTTATGCAATTTTGCAGGTCAGAATTCACCAAGCTTGAACTCTGCAAGGCAATGAACTGCGAAACTTGAGGCACGAACTTGCATTTCCGGTCTGACGCATTCACGTGCGTCTGAATGGAAGTCTATGGCGAGAAAAGTCCAGTGTGACCACAGGATCCTCATGTGTCGACTAAGGGAGAATGAGCTGTAAAAACGCTTCCTACACTGAGTGCATTTGAATGGTTTTCTTCATGTGTTGATTAAGGTGTGATGAGCGGGTAAAACTCTTCCCACACCGAGTGCATGTGAAAGGTCTATCTTCAGTGTGGATCCTCATGTGGTAATTAAGGGATGTTGATAGGCTGAAACTCTTCCCACACTGAGTGCATGTGAATGGTTTCTCTCCAGTGTGGATCCTCATGTGTTGATTAAGGTGTGATGATTGGATGAAACTTCTGCCACACTGACTGCATGTGAATGGTTTCTCTCCAGTGTGTATCCTCATGTGTAGATTAAGGTATGATGACCGGATAAAACTCTTCCCACACTGAGTGCATGTGAATGGTCTCTCTTCAGTGTGGATCTTCATGTGGTAATTAAGGGATGTTGATAGGCTGAAACTCTTCCCACACTGAGTGCATGTGAATGGTTTCTCTCCAGTGTGGATCCTCATGTGTTGATTAAGGAAGAATGAGCGGTAAAAACTCTTCCCACACTGAGTGCATGTGAATGGTTTCTCTCCAGTGTGGATCCTCACGTGTTGATTAAGAGATGATGATTGGCTGAAACTCTTCCCACACTGAGTGCAAGTAAATGGTTTCTCTCCAGTGTGGATCATCATGTGTTGATTAAGGTGTGATGAGCAGGTAAAACTCTTCCCACACTGAGTGCATGCAAATGGTTTCTCTCCAGTGTGGATCCTCATGTGTCGATTAAGGTGAGATGAGCAGTAAAAACTCTTCCTACACTGAGTGCATGTGAATGGTTTCTCTCCAGTGTGGATCATCATGTGTTGATTAAGGTGTGATGAGCAGTTAAAACTCTTCCCACACTGAGTGCATGCAAATGGTTTCTCTCCAGTGTGGATCCTCATGTGTCGATTAAGGTGAGATGAGCAGTCAAAACTCTTCCCACACTGAGTGCATGTGAATGGTTTCTCTCCAGTGTGGATCATCATGTGAATCTTAAGTTTGCTTTTGTTTGCCAAAGTCTTTCCACACTGAGTACAGGTGAAACGATTCTTGTTTCTCCTTTTCAAAAAAATATTTTTTTCCTCAGTTTTGACATGATGTTTCTCCTCTTTACTCCCCTCATTCTCTTCAATGCAGTCTGAAAGAAATAAATAAAACATTAGTTTTTTATTAAGTCTTAAAAACTCTCATCAAAAGCTGAAAAGTGAAAAGACATCACACACCTTTTCACGTACGTTTTTACAGATGTCCACATTGCAGGGCAGAAAGCAATGAGATGTATTCTTTGGCAAGTTTTGTAAATACCCAAGTGTCCACTTAATGGATGTGTGTGGTAGTGTTGGAGGAGATTTGGGATAAGGGTGGCATGTATATATATATATATATATATATATATATATATATATATATATATATATATATATATATATTCTGTAGTGTTTGAGTTTATCTTTCAACAGGAAACAATGATATAACTTGTCATAAAATAACCCAAACTGCTCATGCATAGTAGAATCTTTATCTACTAGGTTCTGCAATATCTTGATTATATCTGGTTCTTTGTGTTGCTCTTCCCAGATTTCTGCAATGGTGATGGGAAATACTAGTTCTTTTATAGCTGAATACACGACAACCAGGTAAGGGATGAATGCAAGATAAAAGCACCTGGTGCTTCATTCAGTGTTCCCTTTCTGTACTCAACCACAAAGTCAAATTTTTGAAGACGAAGGGGCCAGCGGATTAAACGTGAGGTGGTCTTCGTGGAGTTCATGACCCACTGAAGAGTGGAATGATCAGTGACAATAATGAAGAGTTTTGGCTCCAGGAAATGTCTCCACTTTTCGATAGCCTCTAGCAGGGGTTTTCAAACTTTTAGGACACACGCCCCCCCAAGTTTGGCCAATTTCACTCGCGCCCCCTCCCTTTTTGTCCAGCGAGCCAAAATTATAAAGCATGTGCAAACATCACTCCCATATTATTTGCTGCGTTTAAAGTGCATATAATAATTACACTGAATCATAAACATGTAGCTTACCTGATTCAGTGTGATACATGAGTCTGTTTGTGATGTACGTACACACAGAAAATGCTGCTTCGCAGAGCCAAGTTGAAGCAAAAGGCAAGAGTACATCAATTTCAAGTTCCGAAAGTTCAGCATATTCTGTATCCACTGCCAGCCAGAATTCTGAGTTTGGTTGAGTCGAACAGTGTCTTCAAAGTACGGTCACTTGAAAGGTGCAGAAGGGCATCCAGCGCTTTGTAAACTTGGTTCCAATTATGCTGCTCAGAAAAATACCTATTGAAATGTGCAGACAGAGATGGCAGATGTAGAGTGATTTCCGTTTTAGTAGTATCTCGGTTAAACACATTTTCTTTGTTAAATTCATCCAAGGTCAGGAACATTTCTAGATTTTCTTGCATCCACCTGCCCTCTCCATCGCTCCAGTTTCTTCACAAAGCCCACAATTTCATCAGACATTGTTAGTAGGTTTGAACACAGGCCTTGAAGGGACAAATTAAGCGAATTAAGCCAATCAAATATGTCAGACAGGTATGTACAATCTGTGAGCCACTTAGTGTCAGTAAAACGACTCCTAAAGGAAGATCCACAATCAATTAGAAAAATCCTCAGTTCGTCATGCAATGAAAAAATACGCTGCAGGATTTTGCCTGTGGAGAGCCATCTAACCTCCTTGTGTTGACTGGTCATCGTTTGTTTTTGTCCTCTTAATGCTAATTCTTTACATCGAAAAAAGTTGACTGGCTTATCTTTTGACATTGGATGTTTCATCTGAAAGTGACACACCAGTTTCACAGGTTTTAAACAGTCATTTGCAAGGACCTCTGAACACACAACACATTGTGGACATGGTTCGTTATTAATCGTATTGTATGTACTGTTTATCATACTTCCGTTGCTTTGATGCACACAGGCCTTTGGTTTTTGCAGTGAACGTTAATCCTCTCTGTGTGGAGATCCCCGTTGATGCGGAGGGTTGATCATCTGTTTGCTTTGATGCTTCAGAAGGGCACTCGTCATTTTTTTTGTCAGACAATTTACCGGTGTTATCTTTACCGTCATTCATTTTGAAAAGCCACAGGTCCATTTTTTGTATATGTTTTACGCGATCGCACTAACATTAAAAAAGTGCCTCGTGCTTGTTAGTTAGCTCCGGGACTAATCAGATTGACTCTTGTAAACATAAAAAAACATCATATTTACTCGAGTGCACACCTCAGTTTCTCGCTCCCCCCTTAACAGGCGCTGGCGCCCCACAGTTTGAAAACCCCTGGCCTATAGTATGGCTAAACATTCCTTCCCTGTAGCTGAGTAATTAACCTTCAGTTTGGTCAGTGTTCGACTTCCATAGACAATAAATTCCTCCTGTCCTTGCGCCTTGTGTCAACACTGCACCTACTCCTGAATCACTGGCATCGGTGGAAACCACAAAGGGGAGTCGGAGATCAGGATGTCAAAGGATGGGAGGCGAGGTGAGACAAGTCTTTAATTTCTTCAATGCTTTTTGACATTGAGGTGTCCATTGAAAAATTTGCCCTTTTTTCTTCAATAAGTTCATAGGCTCTGCAATTTGAGGAAAGTTTGGCACAAACATATGGTACCACCCTGCCAATCCAAGGAATCTTTTAACGTCTTTGATGTTTTTTGAAACCGGGTAGGATTTTATCGCTTCTACTTTTATGGAATCAGCAGGAATGGCCAGGGTGTTCACCACATGTCCCAGAAATGATAATTTATGTTGGCAGAATTTACTTTTCTTCAGGTTAATGATCAGACCAGCTTTGTGTAACCAGGTGATGACACTTTAAAGATCTTTAAAGTGTTGGGTGACTGAGGGCGAGTATATGATGATGTCATCAATATACATAAAACACATTTTTCCCCGCAACTCTCCTAGGACAGACTCCATTAATTGCTGGAATGTTGCTGGGTCATTTTAAAGTCCAAAGAGCATAACTTTAAAGTGGTATAGGCCCAAGAGGGATGGATTGGATTCACTTCCAGGCTTCATAGTTACCTGCCAGTACCCACTGTTGAGATCAATCGTGGAGAAGATGACAGCACCAGAGAGGGATTCCATCTCTTTCTGTGATAGAGTTCACTTTACGATAGTCCACACAGAACCTCATACTGCTATCTTTTTTGGGGACAAGGACATTAGCCGCATTTCCACTATCGGCCAGTGCGAGCCAGGGCTTTAATCGGGCCGGGCAAATAGCCCGGGAGGTTTAGAAATGAGGCCGAAATCATGTCGCGTTTCCACTGTCGGGCTAGTAGCTCACAGCGCGTCATGCAAACACCGCCCACAGAACGTCCGCGAATCAAACGTCACACAACCCGCCCACTTCAGCGGGAATCAGGACAGGCAGATAAAGCACACCATAGAATTATCACAAAACGAAACCATTAAAATGAAGAAAACCGAAACAAACAAATGACACGTTACTGTACAGCAGTACATGAAATGTCTATACGCACAGACCTGTGTATTTCCATTCATTACATTTGTTTACTCGCCGACCGACTGTTGGCATTGTGCATGGAGTGCTCTCGCCACTAACAGAGGGAACCAACACAGAGAGCGCACACATCCATAATATAAAGCCACAGAAATTCTCCTTTATAACTCGATATGGCATGTATTTTATATCATCCTCGTTTTGATAGACGTCGTGTTAAGTGTTTTACAGCACAAGAGCGAGTAGCCTATTAAAATATAGCCATATTTGTTGCGCTCAGCAGTTATTCACTAAAGCTCTTCATTTAAAGTTTAATTTATAAATTTAACCAGGTCATATAAAAAACATAAAAAGTTGTTTGAGGATATAGAACACATTTTGCGTTTGGACTTTCCCTCGATGCGCTTAAAGCAGCGAGCGCTGCGCAGGACTGAGTGACAGAAAAAAAGGTGTAGGCTAGATTCTGCTTTCACTCACCGAAATAATGCTCTGTTTGCGCTATTTGATTAATATCATCGCATCCAAATACTTTACGTAATTTGTTAAGTTTTATGTCTTTCTGTTGTATTTATATTTTGTATTATCTCTGTCATTTGTATAGCGAAGGAGCGCTCTTGCCCGGTCTCACACACACATACAGGCATCTAAACGCGCACAAACAAACATTTTAAACTTGACAAAAACTCTCGAAAACCTTTACTGTTTGCTGTGTCTTTAATATGGTGTAAAGATTATTATGCGCTATTGAAACAAAGGAGGACGCAGCAAAAAACGTCACTATAAAATAAAACTTACTTTATTATTTTATGCAGCAGCCTTACATTTAAAAGGGAAACATAAGGGTGATCATACGCAAAAAGACCCCAGACTATAAGGCCAGATGTTTTCTTTCCCTTATTTCTTTATTTGTTTGGTGCATGTACTCATGTGCAATCAGAAAACTGCCCGCCTCTCCTTTCACTCCGCCCTGAAGCCCCAGCTGGCCCTCCTTGGCCCAAGGTATTTGGCGGACCGAAAAAGGCTGGCCGCTGGCCCCAAGAAAGCCCCGCTTTGGCCCGATTAAGCCCCGGAACCGACAGTGGAAACGTCACTGGCCTTGGCTCGCTCGCTTTAGGCGCGATAGTGGAAATGCAGCTAATGCGTGAGGCCCACGCTAAGTGTGTAGGTTCTGTGAGGCCATTCATTGGCATTTCTTTGACTTGCTCTTTAACAATCTCTTGCTTCTCTGGTGTTAAACGGTATGGACGTTGCCTGATCAGCACAGGGAAGTCAGTATACAAGCAGTGCTGTAGAACAGTTGTTCTTCCAAGCTGGGAGGTACATACTTGTGGATTCTGCAGAAGTAGATGATGTAACTGGCACTTTACTTCCAGATGCAGGTGAGATTGATCAACTAATGCTTTTCATTAGTGTCTTGTCATCCCTATTATCTGGTAACTAGAATAGACTTTGTGGTGGGGGAATTGAGGTGAACAATGAAAGAGCTTGGCTTGAGTTTTTTCTGTGC